AACAGATTCCTTTTATGAGGATGAAGCCCTAGCAGAGCTATCACCACAAGACGAAGCAGACCCGCCAGGCTACTATCACGGACGGAAGATACAGGATAGCTATCCTACCCCTCCATCAACACCGCCACCTGCAGCACTACTTGCAGGCATTATGGCCAGTGATCAAACAACTCTGACGCAACAAGCGTCCTCAACTACTGTCCTGTGGGCAGCATCATTCCTTGCGGGAACCTAAGCTGGACGTGTTGGAATATACAGAGGAGAAGTCATAGACAAGGCTAAGATGATAAGAATGCTTGCTAAAGGCTTGAAGCCCTATTAAAGTTAACTTCTACCTCTGCCCACGTTCTAAACTAAGCTTGAGGATCACCCTATAGGTAAACTCTTTTAAGAAGCTAAGCAAGAGCACCTTGCAAGCCACTAAGAAATAAAATTATAGTTAGAAGTACTACTTTAGAAAATTAGACTGACAGGACAATAGATCCTTAACTGTATGTGGGTATATACCTATAAGCTTGATAGACATTATTAACTGCTGAAGTGCAAGGCGCGACTGGTAGTTAGAGGCGATTAACAACGCAATATTACATCACAAGACACCTACGCAGCCACGCTTGCTAGCTGATCCTTTCGAACGATGATGGCTATGGCAGCTTACTATAACATGGAGCTTAAACAATACGACGTTACCAACGCGTTTGTTCATGCTACAATGGACAGAGAGGTCTACATGAGGATGCCACGAGGCTATTAGAAGCCTGGCACGATACTGCAAGTAAACAAGGCACTTTACAGCCTGCGCATCTCTCCCCTCCTCTGGCAGAAGAACTTCACTGCAACACTAAAAGCACTAGGTTTCTAGACTGTGCCTCACGAACCCTGCTGTCTAACTAAGGGCGGCATTATTATCTTCTTTTATGTTGACGATATTATCCTTGCGTACAATAAATTAAAAGAGCAAGAGGCAATGCAGACAATTAGCCACGTACAGAGCAAGTACACCTGCACAGGAGGGCACGACCTACAGTGGTTCCTCAGCATGGAGATTATACGAGACTGAGCAAGCAAGAAAATCTACCTATCTTAGGCAGCGTACTTAGACAAAATTAGTCGCCTTGCTGAGAACACAACTATACGACATGACACTCCAATGGCAACAACTGAACTACAGCCAAGGAGTGGACTAGCAGCGCCAGCAGAAATCAACAAGTATCAACGCAAAATTAGATCACTGCTGTTCGCTGCGGTCACCACGCGACCTGACATTGCGTTCGCCACATCAAGGCTTGCCAGGTTCCTCACCAATCCAGGCATCAGCCACCAAGATGCTGCGGACTGGGTCCTTCTATATCTACTCAACACTAAACAGCGATCACTGCAGCTTGGAGGAGGCATTAGCCTCCAGGTAGCAAGTGACGCGTCCTTTGCTGACAACACTATGGATAGAAAGAGCTCCCAAGGCTACGCAATCAAACTCTTTGGCGGCCTCATTGCATGGAAAGCAAACAAGCAGGACACAGTAACAACATTAACAACTAAGGCTGAGCTTCTCGCTCTCACCCAGGTTGCAAAAGAAGCACTTTTTATCTCAAGGCTCTTGCGCGAACTACACGTCAATATAGGCGCACACGCCATCACGATACAATGCAACAACAAACAAACAATTTGACTAGTCACTGAGGAAGTGTTGCGACTACATACCAAACTTTGGCATGTGGATATCCACAACCACTGGCTCCGACAGGAGGTGGCCGCTGGAAAGATCATCATGGAACACGTCCAGTCTGCAAGCATGATAGCAGACAGACTTACAAAGGTACTCCTAGTAAACAAGTGGGAAGGTTTCCTCCAGCAACTCAGTCTGGTGAACAGGGAGTTAACAGAAGTGCCAAACAGCGTGCCTCTAGACAGGATTCAAGAACAAATTGAGGACCTCACACACGCATAAACGGTCAGCTTAAAGAGTTTCTAAGCTGAAGGGGGTGTGTCAGATAAGAGCGAGCGGCGAGAGGTCGGATCTGCGCAATCGAGCAGGGACCTGTCGTGCAGCCAATCAGCAGTTGC